CCACTGAATCATGGAAATCCTCTGAGGATGAGGCAATTCAACTTTACGATATGTCTCCCCGTCACTGTAATACGCCAAGACACCTTTACCTGCCTCATCACACTCAGCTGGAAACTTGCTCCAAGAAGTTGCAGACGCAAAAGGACCCTCGAATGACCAGGTGGAAGAAACCAGATCTTGAAGGTAATCCCCTGGGAACTTCCAAGCTATTTCCCACGATTGGTTCCTTCTCTTCCACAAAACAATATCAGTTCCACCAACTATTATCCCATCCCCGGATCCCGTCCACTCAATCGCTTCAACTTTCGTTTCTTGCAGCAATACATCACTCTGACTCCAACAAAACGAACCTGAATATGAATAAAAATACATACAAATTAAACATATCCAAAACTAATTGGGAAAAAGAAGACACACATCCTAATCATCTCCTTTGATAGATAGTATCAGCTCTATACTAAATTAAAATCCAACGATGGATAATCATTCTCTACTATTATTGTTCAAAATGTCAACGCTATAACCCACTTAGCTCGCTAACTAAAAGCTCAAAGAATCTACGAAGGCTCCAAATCAAGGCTTAACGTTCAGATCGCTAAGATCACGCGCGAAGATGCAAACATAGTTCCCAGACCTAATCATCTCTATACTAATTAACATCCAACGATGGATAACCATTCTCTAACAGGCTAATCTCACTATTGTTCGAAATGTCAACGCTATAACCACTTAGCTCGCTAACTAATGCTCCGAGAAGGCTCCAAATCAAGGCTTACCGTTCAGATCGTTAAGATCACGCGCGAAGAGGCAAACGTAGTTCCCAGACCCAGCCGCGAGCTCGCCTACAGACGGCGTAACAGGAGACCACGAAACGGCGGTGACTGGAGACGTAACATCGCCGGAAACCTCGAGAATCTGACGGGAAAACGGTCCGTTCGCGGAGTCTTCGCCGCGGAGAGGGGAAGGGAGGTGAGAGATGACGAGGAGAGAGGAAGCTCCGTAAGCAAGCCATGAGTAGCCGGCGAAGTCTGGGAGCCAGTCAATAGAAGAGTTGGATCGAGACGGAGCAGGTGGGATGATCTCCGATCTTAAGATTCGGAGAGGTAACTGATCGATCGGATCTTGGGCTGAGATCGGGTCCTGACTCGTCTCCGGCATTTTTCACGCGGTTCAACGGAAAACAGACGAATCTGTGAAGAAAGTATTTTTTTTTTCCGTTTTGAGTTGCACGTGACGTGATTATCACTAACCAGGAACATTAAACCCTCTTCTAGAGGCAGAAGGTTTTACGATGGATGCTGTATTTTGACTCCATTTGGGCCTGCTTATTAGTGTACGTAATAATAAGCAAACAAACAAAACTGGGCTGATGTATATGATTCTTGATTATACTACAAAAAAATGTATATTATCACGTTTTGCTTGGTAAAATTATAACACGAACGAGCGGATTGGCGTCGGCAGAATCATATGTTAAAACTCAACAAAATATATAAATCAAAATTCAAAGCAATCATCATGTCTTTTCAATCGAAAACAGGAATCTCAAAAAAAAAAAAATGATTTTACAAGTAAGATGAGTTTTTTTTTTTTTGACAAGTTAAGGCGTTAGGCGTGCGTGCACGTACTTTGATTATGAGTCAGACCAGTTCATCCAAAACACCGAGCTGGAGACGATCCCTTCTTACACTCTTTCCATTTTTGTAACACACTCTAAAATAATCAAACACCCCAAACAACATCATTGAATAATGTCCATAAACCCAATACAACCCTACTAATACACTGTCTAATCAAAGAGAAAGAGACTATTGTTTACATAAGAGAAAGATTCAGAATTTCTTTATGCATATATATATTTTTTAATATATCAATCATATGTAATACAAAACTTTGACCAAAAAAGATTGTAAAAAGAATAAAGAGAAATTGTATAATAGAAAACTAAATGAAGATAAGAGAAATATGTACAAGATGTAAGATTTTATAATATAACCATCGATGAGTTTTATAACATTATACAACATGTAAGATTTTCATAATCAATCATATAATACAAATCTTCTCAAAAAAAGAGAAACTATATACTATTAGATCAATTAGAAAATTAAGTGGAGATAATATGTAAACAAAACAAACATATTACCTCGAACGATCAATGAACACTGACAAGATACTATGTTCGATGATTTTTCCACATTATACAACTACACTTAATTTCCATAATCAATCATACAATATAAAACTTTCTTCAAAAAAATAACGAGAAATTATATACTAGATGATCAATTTGATCACTAAATGAAGATAACGTGTTAGGAAAAACAAATATAGTTTGATAGGACGCTACACTACATTTTATAAGTCTTCACATTATATATAACATTAGGTGAACTGTCTGCCCGGCCCCCGGCAATGATCTCTCTCCCGGCTCGGATTTTCTCCCGAGCCCGCCCGGCCTCCTGCGCCCGGCTGCGTCTGGCCTCCTCCCGCGCCTGGCCTCCCGTGCCCGGCGGCCGGCCTCCCGCACCCGGCCGCACGCCTCCCGCGCCCACCCAGCCTCCCGCGCCCGCCCGGCCTCCCGCACCCCCTCCGCGCCTCCTGCCCCCC